TGTGAATTTTGGGAGGAAGGCTCAATCATCTGGGTTGTATAAGTGCACAAATGGCAAGACTGTGCCCCAACAGATTCTTCAAGGCATACAAAAATTCGACTCATTAAGGCACTACTATAGATTAGAAGCCATCTGAGATTATTTTTAAAATTTACACTGTCTCTAAAGTCAGTACTTAGAAGTCCTGATCCTTTTTACCTTAGGCTCTGACAAATCCCAGCATCTCTCCAACAAAATTGTGTAAACTATGTAAGCACATGAAAACTAGCAGGAGAGAAGCTTCATAGAGGAAGACAATAATGAAAACATTCAGTCCTACAGGTAGCAGAGAACTTATCTCAGTCCAGGAGAAAAGACTGAGCATACTCTTAGTTTCTATCATAGACATAATCCCATAAATCCAGCTGCTACTCACACCCTTCATTTAACTCATGTGTTTTCCAGATATGCTGGTTAGACTGCAGTACTCAATAACTTCCAGGACTGCATTGAGGGCATTTTCCTGATTTCAAATATTGTATCTTTTTAGATAGAATAATGTGACATCTGATAAGTCTCCAGGCTTTCGACCTCAATTTCATATGTTGCATTATTACAGTTATATGAAGAGGTTTACATGCTGGAAAGGAAAATTACATGCGTGGGCATAAATTAATACATGATGGAGGGGCACAAAAGATGTCTGTTTACACAAAAGGCTTTTTTTTGTGTCTGCAACACAGCTAGCTAGCACTCTAGCCATTCCTCTAGACTTATCAACCTTGAGAGATTTATAAAAGCTTCCCTGGAAAGGCACAGAAGTAGAGATTTTAGTCAGCTATATTTTTTTCCTTTCAGTTTTCCAAAATGAAAGAAAATAGTCTCTATACTCAATTGTGGAATTACATTAGGGAAATTAACCCAGTGAGTATGCAGTTTAATCTATTCACATGAAACAAAATGTAGGTTAGTATAACCACACAAATGCTCAGCCTTTAGAAAATCTAGCACAAGAACCATGATAGCCCACAGCCATGATTTGTTGTTCCAATTCTTATACAAGAAGCTTGAAGCACTTGATAATAGGGAATAAGTTTTGCTTTTCTCATTTTACAGCTGAAAAGATATAAGTGCCTTCTGCAAGGGGAAACAAGAAACTGAGCCCGGGGCCATCGCAATTCCAGCCTTATGTTATTGTTTGAATTATTTCATGCAGCAGTACCAATGCCAGTGCCAAGTGCTTTTGAGGTGGGTGTGATTTGTGGGATTAAAGCAACAAATTGAAGCCTACAGCATATTTTTTGGCTGGAAGAGAGGAAGGAGCACTCAATGAAAGCAGCAAGTTAGTTCCTCTTCACCACCAAGACACATTTCAGCTTACATATCTAAATGAAATGGGGAAAAAATCTTTGTGCTTAAAAATAGATTTTTAAAAAGAAACCTGGAAAACTGATCTACTGTGAGGACAGTTACATTGAAATCTATTTTCACCTATCTGTGAGAAAAATCTTTGGTAACACTGGTGTTCATATCCTTTTCCTTTCCTTTGTTCTTTCTCCTTTACTAACAGCTGCCACCTACTTACGGCATTAATTTTGTGAAATTTACTTCATCTTTTTCCACTTTCTTCATGTCAAATTGCCGGGATTTTAGGTGTCAGCCATATGGCAACCCTCACTTAAAGTTCTCTTATTTTATCTTCTATCTGATGTGACAATTTAGACTGTAGAAAAGCAATGGAAAATTACAGTGCATTGACAACAGTGTGTGATTTAAAACAAATACTTTCTCATGCCAAGGAAATACTGAACATTAACATAATGTCTAAAGTAAGACTGAGAGCTGATGCTATACATTGCAAATATCACATTTTCATCAAGATCTTTTTTGAGTTTATAAGAAAGAGACCAGGGCAAATCTGAAAATAAGGAAGAAGTTCAAAAGCATATGTAGTCAGTCAGTGCTCATGGCACTTGTAGGACAGGAAGTGTGAACACAATTGCCAGTATCAATTTCCTGCTGCTATGTGTGCTTAGGTTGGAGAAGTTCTCACCCGGAGCTTGGGTGCCATGGTAATGTATGAAGATCCAAGAAGAACTGAGTGCTGCTACTTGTTTTCATCCAAAACAGAAAACAGTCTCAGGCAAACTGAGACTTATTTTCAATCATATTATATTTTGAAAGGGGCCTAAAATGGATGCAGTAGCCCGTTTACTGAAAAATAATGTGTTAAGGACTGATCTTGCATCAGAACAGGGTGTGATAAATTACAAAAGCATACCTAAAGATAATCTAAGATGTGGAGGACAATGGAGTGTTTTCCTCCCTTCCCCATACTAATAGGAGAGGCAGGCAGTGGCTTGTTATTGTTATTGTAATTACATTTTATGAAATAGTGAATGTCTGCGTGGCTACTGAGCACTTGGTTGTTACTGAGCTGTCCGCCAGCGCAGCGAGATGAAGCAAGAATGTGGCACTCCTCTGAGGTGCTAATCTGCAGATAAACAGATGTTATACTGTGGAAACAGGAAAAGTGGTATCAAGGAATCACTTGCCTCTTGGAATGGAAGATATCCATCTTCTTCCACTCACCCAACAAAGCTCACTGATACACATTTTACACCACATGGCTACAGTGTCTCGGGCTGATAGGTGTTTAGATGCTGGAGAAGCAGTGAAACTTGAAAAAAAAGCAAGCCTTAGAAGCTGCAATTATCCTTCCCTTAAGTTCTGTGGCTCCAGGATCAGGCAGAGGCAGTGAATCATTCTGCTTCTCCTAATACCAGCGTTTTAATCAAATGGGGTAACAATTTTAATGTGTAGGCAAGTTGATCTTTGCATCCCAGTCTTTCAAAGAAATAGAGGCTTTGGCCACGAGGTGCGTGTTCAGACCACCCAGCTTATTTCTGAACTGCTAGAACACAGTCAGGGCCATTGGTTTATCTATGTACCCACACATTTCACTCTCAATGACAACATCTCTCTTAACTACAGTCTCAACATTCTCTACCCAAATGCTGCTACTGCACAGGACCAGGAGCACTACAGCAATAGACCTCAGTACAGTTTCTTGCTCTGCTCTGTCCCAGTTTGGGTTGGCTGCAGCTCCCATTATGCATCTGGAGGCGTTTCACTATTTAGATGATTACCATCAAGCTCAGACTTTCATCCTTGCACAATAAAGATCAGCTTGCAATCAAATGTTTTGGAATACTTTCTGGCCATTTATCGTACAATTAATCTCAGCAATCCCCTTTCAGAATGTTCTAAAAAAGTATTAATGTACAAGTGTTCTGCAAGCATGGTTACTGATAGGATGTTCAACAGTGAAAACCATTTTCACTTTGATATAGACTATCCTATTCTGGCTTTCAAGCATGTTTGGATATGCATAACATTATCATTTGCATTAAGCAATATTCTTATTTTAAAAATTGGTTCTTTACTGTAACATTATTTAATATTATATTCAATAATTAGAATACAAGATAAAACTACCTTTCAAATCTCATCTAAAGATGAAAAAGTTTCAAAGGAGAGATGCAGAGAAAAATAATGAATACAACTGGCTACTTCCTAAAACCAGCTTGCTTTATTTTCTGGCTGCAAACTGCATTCAAAGGAATGTGGAAACATACAGGACCAGGGGTACACCAATCACAGAAGCAACAGACGCAGGGATTATTTATACTTCAAATTTGATGTCACAACCAAGACTGTTACAAAAATGAGGTAGAGTAGCAGTAGGGAGACTTCATACTGTACAATTCTTTTAGTAGTCCTGTTTTGCTATTAGCATTCCAATTAAAAGTGCATTTAAATTATTGTAAAGGATCCAAAGAAGAGTTCCATAGAGGATCCAGAAGACTTGAGTCTATTTACTTATTTTAAAAAAGAAAGCTGAAGAGTAACTTGTTCAGTTTGTAACTGCCTACAGTGAAAACAGCATCATCACACCATGTACTTCAGTTTAGCAGACAAAAGACAAAAGATATGACAGCTGGATATGGAAAGATGGCAAATTCAGCTCAATGCAAGAGGCATGTGTTTAATAGTAAGTAATTACACTTTAAACAATTTGTGTGGATTCTTAATTCTAGGAGCTTTCAAATCAATGCAGGATGCTTCTTCTAAGAACAGCTTTAGTTCAGACAAGAATTTGAGGAAGTCTTGGAAACTGCTCAGCAAGAGAGTAGACTGAACACATGGTGTTTCCCTCCGCCTTCTGAATCAGATTACACTGGAACTGTTAAATTTTTCTCATGAAAATACCTCAAAGGAGGTAGATTTAAAAAGGGAGGAGAAGTGGGCATGAGCATTTTGGACGTGCAATACAGCAGGGACTGTTTGGCTGCATTACACCACCACCTGAAAGAAGCATCACCTAGGTGCAGCAATAATGTAAAATTGTGTAGGTAGGGAGGGACTCTACAGTTTTGTACTAGAAATTATGAAAATGAAAGCAGTAACAACATGTTATGTTCAATCTAGCGGATGCCAGAAATTTTGCATGCCAGGAGATTGCTCAGCTCAAGCCTGCAGGGGTACTGTTCCTTTCAGACCGTTTTTATGACAAGAAAGAAAAACAAGGCAGATGCAATGTACCTGAAAGAAGAAATTCAGCTTTTTGGCCTCAGTGAAATAAAGGTGAAGAGGCCTAACATGCTGCAGATAAACTTAACCATGTAAAGGAAAAGGTATTCACAAGAGACAGAAACCTGAGAACTTCCTGCTTGAATTGTATCCATACTTTTGTGAATATAAAATTTGCAAACACTGAGGTTCTAGTCTCAGGAAATAAAATTATTCCAATTGATGGCACTGCTCTATGGATATAACACAATGAGATTCAAATTGTCTTGTCTGGTGCCATGTAAGAGCTTTGACCAGAATCTCCTGTATCTCAGGACAAGATCTCATGCCACCAGGCTGCTGGACGTTTTGGGCATGACTGCCTAGTTCTCCCTGCAAGAGTCATGTTTGAACAAAAGAAACACCACGTAAAGACAGCCATATTTTGAAGAAATGTTTTGGTGAAAAGCTAATACACAGATTTAGTTGGATAATTTTTTCCTAGAAAAGGGTGCAACATTTTTTACTCCAGTAATTCTTCAAGTAGCCAAGATTCTTACTTCACAATTTCAAACTCCTGCATACCCAGCTGACAGGATTAAGACACAGCGTAGGAGTTCACCCTGCACAGACGGTGAGCATAATGTACAGTCATCATGGAGACAACAGCTCAGAAATGGAAAAATCCTTCCAGGTTGTTCATGACAGATCTATGGCAGTGGTCACCCACGACAATGTATTTTTAGAGTTCTGTAAAGCCCATTTCTATGCATGCTCCTCCCAGAGACCCTTTAATTCATAGATACTGTTAAAGCTCACATGACTCTCTTCAGAGAGATACATCATAGTATCACTTTTGTATTTGCACTTTCCCACATGGGCAACATGCTGCTGTGGAGCTGTATTTAAAGCATGCTTTGGAACTAGGGACTTTACAGTTCAACAGCGCTAAATAATCCACAAATTTTTCAAGTATATACTTTATTTCATTAATATTTCACAGTCAATTTCTGTAAAGTTTTAGCAAAAAGGTCATGTATAACAGAGGTGTTAGGCTACTGTATTCGGAGCTAGCAATGGACTTTGAAAGTACAGAAAATATTTACATTCCAACTGGAACAGTAGAATTTCAAAAAGACATAGTAAAAGTAATCAAAATACCAACATTTATTAAAACTTAATACAAAAAACAGTCTGTCTGACCCATCAAGCTACTTGTAAGTTGTCAGCAACAGCTGAAGCTGCAGAAGGCCATCTGACTGATTAGATCAAGACAACTGTCTTCAGCTGACTTCTTAATACCAAGTCTTGCTGCTGCAAAGATTAAAAAACCCTGTGAGCTCATAGCTTACAGCTTCCATTCAGAGGCTAACATTTCTCTTCAAATCTACTGGAGCACTTTCAGATCCTACCCAGAATGTGGATTTATCCTGGTCCTGATGTAGTCAACTAATTTTCTGAATGCATTTCCAAGCTAACCTATTTTATTACATTGCAGCCAAGAAAGGAAAGCCCTTACTGTTTTAAAGCTTTATCAGGGTTCCCAGGAATAAAGGCAGCCAAGAAAACTGAACAGAATGGTGCCTGATGACATATTCATCACCAGAGACCTTCAACATCCTTTTTTTTAATAGATGTTGAGTTAAGGTTTCCCATTATCTAGGGATATGCTTCCTAAGGAGCCCCAGGTTTAAGTATGAGTTCCAGAGTGGATTTTTCTAGCTCAGTAAATACTATTTAAGTCTGGACTGATGCCCAGTAGGAGATTTCTAACCAGCTGCTGGACTTTATTCACAGATTTACTGAACATCTATTTATACAAATTACACCTGCTGAAAGGCCCATTAGCTGTAAGCACACCGACTTCAGCCCATCCTCCATACTGTCAGGGAAAAAGTAGGTACAGTACTCTAAGGGCTACAAGAGATTTCCACCAGCTAAGTCTCCCTCAGTCAGAGGATACTGCCCTGCAAAGCAAGTTTTTCATTCCTTTATACTCTATTAGAGCAGTGGAAATAGAATGGAGGTCACTGGTAGACTCATTTTTCCTTGTCTCAAACAGCTACAATTGGATTTAATTTTTTCTGCCTCCCTTTCATCTCTAGGTACTCGAGCCCATCATCTTGTTTTCTAGGGCAATCACCTCCTAAAAATACATAGTCCGAATTTCAAATTCTCCTCTCTATTTAATAGGTAGAGTAAGAACTTTAGGAAAAGTAGAAAAAATATCCTATGCACTTTCTCATACCTCACACCTCTAGGCCTATTACATGTATTCTATCAATGGAACTGCCTTCTCTCCTTGTAAGAAGTTCAAATGAAAACAAGATCTTCTTTCATAAATGGACTAAGGTATCATCACATCTATTCTGCCAAATATCATCTGGTGCAGATATCACAACTGATAGATTGTCTCTATATTGTGTCCTACATTATTATATTGTACTGTGCTGCCTTCTGGGTTTGCTGGCCGAGTTCTGATATCGCCAGGCTGCGAGTTATGAGACACGGTAGTATCACAACTATGTCAGGTATATTAAAAAAAATAAATGCCAGAACAGAGTCTACAAACGCTTTTAAACAATTCCCACATACTGCACCAGTCTTCAGCAGGTAGACAGGATCCCATGAAAGGTCCCATGGCTACTAGTTTGCTACAGCTCCACTAGAGCAACCCCCGCCACAACATTTCTCCAAAGGCCCGTGGTTATACAAATAGGAGTCAAATGCCTCAACTTCTTAAAACATGTAAAGCATTTCTTTTCATCAGTTTAAATGGATGAAATCCCTTACAAGACAGAAGTCCCTTCCAATTTCTGTAATTCACCTATTTCAGGAAGGACTATAAAAGTATTCTCTACAGTCTTCCACAATACTGATTCCTAGAGGAATCAGAAAATGTAAAGGTCTAGTCACAAATTAGCAAGATATCTACTCTACTCTCAAGTTTCTTTTTTTTAACAATCTGAAACAGATGATAGAAGGAATCAAAGCATCAAAATACCTAGTTACCTAGATAGCATGAGTTTTTGAAAACATTGTCACACAGAAAGGAACATATCACATTCATATTCCTTAATGTTCTTAGACAAAGCAGTTTTCAATTTTCTACACAAGCTACCTCTGGAAAAAAATCCCTTCAGATTGCAGGGAGTGATGTAGTTAAGTGTCTAGGTAACTGCAACGAAATAAATGTCTCTAAAATAGCTTTTGTAACATGACTACTGTGGCTCTCTGCTAGCAAGGTCAGTATCTTATGCACATTGTGGTGTTAGCAGTATCTCAAGGCAAGCAGCCTAGGAATGCTATCAATCTATATGAAGGAAAAAATGTTTTGGAGTTTGTTTTTTGAAGTTCAAACTTACAGATAAAATTTTCAGCAAGTTTATCCAAGCTGACACATCTCCCATCCTCACTACATTCAACTGATTTTCTCTAAATAAAGAAAGAAGGGGATGGGAAAAGGACTTATTTCACCTCACACCAACTCCCTTCACCTATTTGGAAGTCATGATGGCCCAACAGTGGGGCCTGTTCTGCTGCTGCACTCTCAGAAACAACTATCTGAAGATGGGAATAAGAAGATGCTTCAGAATACTGCAAATGACTGTCTTCACTTCAAGAATGGGAACATGCCAGCAGAGTGCATATAAACTTCTTCAGTCCAAGGAATTACACAAAGTAAGCATGAAGTTCAAGGTCACACTGCAGTACTAAGTACTCATTCTGTCTAGAACCCACCATGCTATTCCAGTCCTACAGCTGGCTCTAAAGACAAATTGTTAATGGCAATACAACTGCAAATTCTGGACTCAAAAAATGCTCAAGTAGAAGTTTGAGACAGGAAAAAGGAGGCACAGAAATAACTTGATCAACAGCTAAGCACATTTTTACTACATGTTGGGATAAGTGGGGTCTTCAAGGTTGCTTTCAGCCTTATTGGATCCTGTTAGAGATGCTTCTAGCTCTGCCCATGACTGTGGAGCATTGTTCTTTATTGCTTCTATGAAAAGCTGTGTTTGGTGCTTCAGCTGGTCCAGCTCAGCCTGTGTCACCTGGTTCTGATGAATGAGCTCCTTGGTTTTTAAAGTGATCTCCAGCAATCCCGACCTGCGTAGCACAACAAGTGTATTCTGAAAGCGTCTGCACTTGCTTTGCTGTTGCAAGAGCAGCTCAGGGGTAGTGCAAATCTCTTCTGGTATCAATGGAGGGCTCCACGCTGCAGAAGGCATTGTAGTCTGTGATGCACTCTCGCTCTCATGAAGGGTGCACTTTGCTGCCTGCAGAGTTCCAAAAGGCAAAAGGGGAGTCAAACCTGGCACCTTCTGGGAGTCACTGGAAACGCAATGAAAACCAGGAAGAGCTGACAGTTTTCCACTCGTCACCAGAGCTGAAGAACTTTGCTGGTTAGAGTCCTGAGGGGTCTTAAAACTAACTGGTACATGGGAAAAAGGACTAGTAGGCAAGCCTGTGCTCATTAGTACAGGAGAAGTCTCCATCTTGGGTGCTTCTGTGCAGAGTCGTTTATGGCAAGTGGCTTCCTGACATTCTTCTAGGTCAAAGGAGTGATCTCTTTTGCAGGGCTGTGGTGCTATTTTGGGAAAAGAATTCAGGATGGGCAGATAATTAGTGGAGTCATTTCTCTTTTTCCCATCAGGGTGAGGATTAATGGGAGGTGGGATTGATGGACGAAGAAACACTAGCTGTGGCTGAGCTGGAATCACTTCAAAGGATGGCTGCACAGTCCAAGACTGGAGCTGTGATGAACTCCCCTGAGAAGCACAAACAGGGAAAAACCACAAGTCTTAAAAAAGTATTGTAGAAGACAATAAAAACAAACTAAAATGAAACAGGTAGACTGTGCCATTTTTCCACATTTGATATAAACTGTCCAATTAACATGTTATGAAGTGTTTTCTACCAAGCTCATCCTTCTCTTTCTCTGACAATAGAGCATAACTGAAAATAAAGCTGTAATCCATAATCCTTTTACTATGCAACAGCAAATATATTTAAAAACAATTCAATCTGAACTTATATATGCTTTCCTAAGTGAGGATTACAGTGCAAGCTTATATTGCAAAACGTTCATTAAAAAGTTTGACCCAGACCTGAGGTCAAACTGAAGTGCACAGGAAAGCTGAAAAATAATTAAGCTTTCTGTTATCAAATACCTTAAGAGTCAACGAAAGACTGCACAGACATTTTAGGAACAATTCAGGCTCCCTCTTTGTTGAAAGACAGCAACTCAAATCTTCTCAAATCTATTCTTATAGCAGGATTTTGAATTGGTTATTTAAAATACACAACAGCTGCTCAGGAAGTCTTGTAATTTGAAGTATAATACACACTTTCAGCAAATTTAAAACTATGAAGCAGAAAAAAAAAGAGGCCTAATATCAATCAATGCAAGGAGAAAAGCCTGCAGTAAGCCCAGAGGAGTTTAACTTTGTACCTCTGGTGAAACAGTGTGCACGGATAAACCTTAAAAGCATTTTATTTCAAGAACAATGCCCAAGGCTTTATTCCCTCCCACAAGCCATACTCTGGAATATAAGGGAAAACATCAGTTTTTACAAGACATTACCTCTTTTTCCTCCAACACCTTACTACAGATCTTCATGAGATCTTCTGGCCAAGAATATGATTGCTTTTCTCCAAAGACACCAAATGGTCTAGTAAAAGACACTATTTCTTTCTAAAGCAAAATCTCACTTCTTAATATATTGAAGCCATTACCGCTACAATTATACTAATGTACTGTTAATTTCAATTCCTTACAACTTGGAACACAATTGACAGGCCTGCTGAAGGCACAGTTTTTAGCTACCACAAATACATCTTATTATTTTTAGTACTATATTAAGTAATCTGAAATCCATATCCTTTCCACCAGCCTCGTAAGTTCTAAACTGGCAAACGCTAACATGCTTTGCTAAAGTCCATTCCCCCAGTAAAGGACTTGGAACTTACCAAAAGCAGGTATTACCCACTGATTAGGACACTGAGACTTGGAGATAAGATTCAATTACCTACTCTGACACAATGTTTCTTTGGTTCAGTGGGCAAGATGCTTATGGAATAGGGGTACAGAACAGCTACCTGCAAAAATAAATATTACTACCTTAACACAGAAGAAAGAACATTCAAAAGAAAAGTATCTGGAGATGTAAGGAGTGAGGAAGCATATAAATACTGTAACTATACATACAAAGGACAGAATATGTAGCCTTAAGGAGAAAGGGTTTGGAGCCAGAAGTTGTCATTTACAGCACTGCTGAATAGCACCTAGCACGGCAGAGCCCAATAATTATTGAGGTCAAAAGAGCTGTGGTGTGTTTATCTTGCTCTTGGGTTTCTTCCTATCTCTTTCTTCTTTTCCTTCTCACATAGCACTCTGCTCTTGTTCTCCTACTCAAAATCTCATTTTCGGTAGAGAAGGCCATTTTTATTTTACTAACTCTGCAAATTGTTGTGTGTTTTGTTGCATTTTTTAATGAAAGCTATGAAAGCAAACTTCCTGATTCATCAGTGTCACTTGCCTAAAAAGCCTTCCTACTTATTATAATAAGATTTTTACAAGACTTACAGAAACCTTACCACAATCAGCACTATGCTCTAGAGCATTAATCGTCACTTGATTTTTTTCTTTAGCAGCATTAATCTTAGCTGTGTACACTCTGAAATTGGGCCAGCAGGTAACCACCACTGTAGAGGATCACAGTGGTTCCAAGACAGAAAGATGATGCCGACTGAAACTGAAAGAAATAAACTGCAGTAACTGGATGCTGCTTTTTTTGGTCCAGCAAGCCTAACCGAGCGTTGTGTTGAAAAGACCATTTTAAAAAGACAACCATTTGAGCTAACTAGGCATAATGAAAAATGGCAGAAAGACATTTCATTATTATTTTGACCTAGACTTGTTGCTTTCCTTTATTGTAATAAATGTTTTTCAATTTGACATTATTGTCTTTAATCATACGTAAGTAGATATTATGACGCACTGCTCAACAGAACCAAATGTGATCATTTTATCCATCTCCAACTCCTCCTTGCCAAATTTCCTTTTTTGCTATACTACCAGGGGTTTATACATCTATATATATATATATATATATATACACACATGTGTGGTTAGATTTTTTTTTCCTCTCTATATATAAGCTACTTATTATTAGTTGCTCCTTCTTCTTATTTCCAACACAGTGTGGAGTTCAACAATGAAATCAGTACAGGTAATGTCTTAATTTTTGAGCTCTGGGTCAAAGGCTAAAAGCCCTTGATGAAGCTTGCCTGTTCCTGACTTTACATATAAAAACTTCAGCACTTGTTTACACAGTATTTTGTCCACACATTTAGGAATGTGACTATAAAATGAAATTGTTCCTTGTCATGATAAAGCATGATGCTCAAGAGAACATAACCACCTCCCTCACAACTGCGTAATCTGCTAAATACTAACAGTGAGTATTATGTCTTGCTTGTTGTTGTAACAGGTTCAGTAGAAAAAGAATCAAGATCTATATTCTTTTTTCCCCCCTCCCCACTGTATTCTCAGAAGTATTCTAGTAAAAAAAAATTGAAGAACTTTCACTGCTCCAAAAATAAGTGACTACAGAGCCGGAGGTCTAATAATATGACAGTAGTTTGGACTTCTCATACCTTCTGTTAAAATGTTGATGTTACACAGGGGGTTTTACAGATGTGCTGGAGGAACTATACATTACGAAAGTACTGGGGAACATAAATAGGGAATGTAATAGTTGCAACGTGAGCCATCACATGCAATTAAGTGAAACAACTATTAAAGCAGAAGTACTACTGCTAACTTCAGATAAGGATTTAACTTTTTCATTTGGAACACCCTGGATTAGTGTTTCCCATTACATATAAAGCACTTCTAGAACCGAGGAAACAAACCTATCATCCTGCTTCACCATCTTTATTGAATGAAAAAGACAACAGCAGCTTTCAAAAGCAAATCACTCTTTTCTGTTTAATCTTTGGTGCGATTCACACAACGATCTCGAATATGCATTTTGGGGGGATTCCTTTGAGACAAAGAGGTTTGGTAGATGGAGATGGAGCAGAGTTTCTCTATTTCACATTCCATCTTAGTGATTCCAGCTGCCTCTCAAAAGAACAGAGAATCACATTAGAACTTCTTAAACTACCAGTTATTTTCTGGACTGCAACAACACTGGAAAATCTTTTTTGAAAAGAAAAATGTTTTTTAAAAAATTAAGAACATGCAATATTTTTCAAGATATTATTTCTTCCCTACCTGCTTAACCAACACATTTTTCATAACAACCATAGGAGATAGCGCAGGAAAGGAGCTGCTTGTGGTCCTTGGGCATTGCCAAGGTCCATCCTCTGCATTCCAACAGAGCGCATTCAGCACATCCTCGGAGTCCGTCTGCTCCATAGCACTTGGACACTCGGAACTTCCATCTGCCAGATGCAGAATTCAGCTGTTAGTTGTTCCACTTACTACTTACTGCTTACTACTGCCTTTCAGTTCTAATATTCTGCCTCCTTCAACAAGTCACAAAGAACAGTAAAGTTTAGTTCTGTAATATCAACAAAATTAAAGCTGCTATGAGAGCTGTCAGACAGTCTCTAATAAAAGGCTTTGTATTTATTTCAGGTCAGCTCTTATCCAGACATTTTCTCCCCCAAAAATCTATTACTTTTTGGCTTTTTGGATTTATCTCCAAGGGACTGCATAGTATTGCAAAGGTTGCTTTACTTAAAAGCTGATACAGGAAAGCACTACAGGCTCCAGCATTGCACATCCATAGTTAGCAATGCAGGCATTTTGTGTCTTGAAATTCCCTATCTAAAACTCAGTAAAGCAAGTATCTCTCATAGAATTGCTTTTTTTCTCATTTAAAGGTCATTTTTGCACAGTTTTGTTGAGTACTAAAATGGCACAACACATCTATTATTTTGCTGATGTTACAGCCATTATTCTCTGGGTTATCAGGCTCTACTAACAGTATGACCAGATCATAAGAGACACTGGGCAGCATAATCCAACAATTTATTCATCACTGCAAAGAACCAAAAGTAATTTTGACATCTCCACTTTAGACTCTAAAGTCTAAGATTCTTCCATTAATTCTAAATTCCCATGCCATTCAAATTGACAGGATGAACTTTATAACTTGGTAATGTTCCACTTCAAAACAATTTGGTGGTAGGGCAATTGCAGATAAAACCTATCTTGAACAGAAAGGCCCTTCAAGACACAGACTGGAAGGGGTTACTCAGATTTGTTAAATGTCACCAATTAAAGCACAGCCTCAGCACAGTAGCACAAAAAAGGTAACACAGTGTTTTTCTAAACCTGAATATCCGGAGTCTTTGTCAGATTCAGCTGCCATACTGAAGCGATGGTTGAAGTTCTTCATTTCTGTCACTTTGCCCAACAATTCCTCAGGGGTGTCAGCAGATGACTATTTTGTCTGAGTGCTTCCATAGTGCCGTGGGCAGTTTTTAACATCTTTTCCATTGAGGAACTATAAAGAGTTAAGAACAAAAAGCACTTTATCTGAATCTAAAGAAAGTTTCATCAGTATAAGACAACAATGGAGGATAGTTGCTATCTCCTTTAATACTGTAAGTGAGCTAACTGCAGACTTTAAGAAATACGTTAAAATACTGAAAGAATGAAATTTAGATCAAAAGCTAATGTATTGGACATGTCTTTCCACCTCAAAAGGGTAAAACAAACTAAAAAATTAAAGGCTTTTCGTAAAAAACATTAATTTCAAGAATTAAAATTACTCAGGGCATTATTTAGCTTATGCAAGCTTTGCTGTCCCAAGGGCTGAATTGCAAAACAAGACAGTTGTGCTGGGTGAAGCTCTTAGTACAAATGCAGCTGAACCTGCAAAGCTGTGGTTTTGCTAACACAGTTTATTTCATTCTCAAGAGTAGAGTAAGTCATAAGAAAAAAGGATGAGTGATCACAGTGCAGGCTAAAGAAATCTATACCGCTAAAAGAGCAGTACATACTGCAACATACTCCTAGGGGAGACAGAGACTTAGAAATGCCCACATCCAGAATGAAAACATTGAAAGGCTGAAACTAAAAGCTATGAAAATCAGAAAAATGTACTAACATTATGGCCTCCCACACTACATACTTGTCACAACCTTCAGCTGCCTCCTGAGGGTGGGCAGCATCGTGTAAGACTAAGTTTCTGCTTCTCTTAAAGGAAGTAAATGAGAAACTGGCTAACAGAAAACTGACAGAATTAAGTGCAGAAATTATTTCCACGATTACTTGTAGGAATAACTTTCCTATCAAGGAACCCACTGAAGTTATGTTTCAATGTTAAGTTTTACATTTAAATTACAAAAACAAGAACACAGGAGTCTGCATCATAGTCAGGCCAGTAGTCCATCAGCAGCAGTATCCACTACAAGCTGCTTCAAATGACATTGCAACAGACATTCTGGAATAATCTATACCAAAATACAAGTTTCTTCTTCAGGTCCTGCCAACTTTGTTAGAAGTGTGCTCAAAAATCATGAGTCTTAGCACCAGTATTGAATTCTGAAATGGGAATATGACAGTCTATTACAAGAACGATGGAATAATGATCAGCAGAAGAAAATTTCCTCAAGTAGCTACTTGCATCGCTTTTACTTTCCATCTTCAGTCACACTTGCCTGCCTGCTAACAGGTATGGAACAAACATGGTTACACAAGTGCAACCTAGATACTATGCTTGCAACGGAAGAAGTGGTTAAAGTCCTGATCCACGCTCTCCTTACTTAGCCCTTTCCAAAACAAATATATTTTTAAAAGAAAGTGATACACAGAAGTGTTAATATAAAATAAAACCCCCAAAACCACCTCAAACCAAAACAAGAAAGAGGGCTAGAAATAAAGTGAGAACACCTCATCTGCAGCTTTGCATCAGTGAGGCTTTGGGAAGGGCTGACACATGATCTCTCACAGAAAAAAGCAAAATACCACAACCACAATCGAAAATAAACAAACCAGAAGTGCCACTCCCCCGAGGCACGGGAGCGAGAACCCTCCTGCCCATACCCGGGCCAGAGCCGCCTCCCGGGCTCGGCGGGCAGGACCTCCGCCGCGCACCGCCTTCAGAACCGGGCGCTCACGCCGTCGCCCAGGGCCCTCCCTCCCGCTGATCCCACCCAAGCGTTCCCGGGCCCACACGCCAGACTTCTGCGGCACGAGGAGAGCCCACGCAGGCGGGCCGAGCCACTCGGCTGGCGGGCCCGAGTCACCGCTCCGCCACACGGCGAGGCGCACCAGGTACAGCACAGTCCCGGGGCCCCAGGACCACCGCCGCCGCCGCCACCGCTCGCTCACGGCCACGGCCACGGCCGCCGCCTCCCGCCGGGCCGGGCCGGGCCGCCCCTCACCTGGGCACGGGGCCGCCACAGCTCAGCCGCGCCGCGCCACGCCGCGCATGCGCCGCACCCGCCCCGGGCACGCCCCGCCCTCACGGCCGCAGAGCGGGAGCGCGGCCGGCGCGCCCCGAGCGCGCATGCGCAGAGCGGGCTGGCGGGAGAGCGGCCTGTGGGCGCGCTCGTTGCTCCGCGCTCGGACGTGTGAGGGAGCCGGGCAGGGTGAGCGGGGTCCGGAGTTCGGCATGCTGGGCCTCCCAAATACTGTGCAAAGAAGTACCATTCTTTGCCACACAGAAGGTTTGGCATTTATGCAGCTTCTCTCACTCTATGAATGAGGGAGGAAACACGGACAGACACTTCAAATATGGGGAAAGCTGCATCAAGAAGGTCTCAAACTTGTCTCAAAGAGGGAAGACGAGGCAAAAAAAAGGGATCACAGAATCAATTAGATTGGAAAAGACCTCGGATCATCGAGTCCAACCTATGACCTAACACCACCATGTCAACTAGACCATGGCACTAAGTGCTACATACAGTTTCTTAAACACTCTCGGGGATGGTGACTCCATCACCTCAAGCACCCTGTTCCAGTATCTAATCATCCTTTCTGTGAAGAAATTCCTTCTCATCTCCAGCCTGAACCTCCCTTGGAACAGCCTGAGGCTATGTCCTCTTGTCCGGTCTCTGGTTGTTGGGAGAAGAAGCCAAACCCCGCCTGGCTACAGCCTCCTTTCAGCCTCCTTGTGAGAGTGATAAGGTCATCCCTGAGTCTCTTTCTTTTCTGGGCCGAACACCCCCTTCTGCTCCTCACAGAACTTGTGCTCTAGATCCTTCACCACCTTCATTGCCCTTCTTTGGACTCACTCCAGCACCTCAATGTTCCTTCCTGAATGGAGGGACTCAGAACAGGACACAGAACTCGAGGTGTGGTGTCACCAGTGCCAAGTACAGGGCAAGAATCACCTTTTCCTGTCATGAGTGAAAACAAAAAACCAACCAACTTTTACGTGGTTGGGAAGTGTTGAAATACGTGGATTTGGTTTACATGAACTGCACATAAACCAAGAGCAAATAAACAGGAGGAAGTGAGTCTCTGGTTCAATGAAAAAACTAGAGTAGCTATTCTTGTTCTGAGAACAGCATAAATGCTACCACCACCCAGAAAAATGTCAGAATATTTTGCATTTGAACATGAAAGACATTACATTAGAGAAAGCTGAAAAGGCTGTGTAGAAGACCACAGCAAAGACACAATGAATGCCTTAAATAGAAATGGAAAAAACACTTTCATTGTTATGATGGTCTGGTTAAAGAACCTGAAATATGCTGATTAAAGAGGTCAACAAGATCTAATAAATTCCTGAATAAAAAAGAGAAGGACCTTTCATCTCAGCATAGTCTCATAAACAACTTGTCAAATGCAATACAAAAATGTCTGAGGTTACATGGAATGACACTTGTCATTTTAAAGAATGTGGCACTGATAGGTTCCAGTCCTACCAATCTGAAATGCTGTGAGACAACACAGTGACTCTTATTCTTAGGATGTATTTTTGAGCACTTAAATGCCAGAGTTGGCTCTGTTTACATCTAAGCTGTAGTGTGAGATGTGTGATCTCTGTACTCTGGATTTGGATCCCTTACTGTTCAGGACTTTTGAGTTCTGAGGCAAAGCATGCTAAGAATACTGATGTATCATCTTATTTGCACAGGCATGGTCCTGGGTTGCCTTGTATCCAGAAACAGCCCTTACAGTCCTCCACAGATGGCAGATTTCTCAGGGTATGGAGTATGTGTGGGTGCTCAGTGAAAACAGCTCACCAGAGAGCAAATAGCCTGTGTCTGGGACAGACAACCTGCTGTTCAGTTCAGGTGATTCAGAACAGATTTGGAATATGTGATACCAGCCCTTCATCCAAGGGGCAGCGGGTAGGAGAACTGAAATACTATATTGTTTAATAGAGAAGTTTGCTTGCATAGTCAAGGTAAACCTCTAAATAAATAAAATAAATTAAAATCTTATCACCTGAATTGTCCCTGAATTAAGTTGACTTAAACCTTCGGTTTGTATTGAACATCATCTAAATTCTTCCTCCTCCAAAAACACTGTTTTTGTAGTTTTAATAGTATTTCTGTCATTGCCCTTTCTCTCCCTTTTCCTTTAATTTGATTCTTCATTGATCCAAGGTCTTATTTACTGTGTAAGTTCAGTGATTACAGTCAGTGGCAACAGGATGTTTTCCTTTTTCCTTATGTTATACAGTGGTTGATTTATTTATGCTAAAGGTGAGTGTTTTGACGAATATATATTAACTTTTTGTTCACTTCCCTGTTTATTCTGGTCATACAACAGGAAAAGAGTGAAAAGGATATGTGTGAAGTATGACTGTATGTTTATTCAGTGTAGGTGATTCAACACTTATTTTAAAAAGGTGTTGAATCTCTTCTTTCAGGAGAAAATGCAGAAATCATCTTTCACGGCTTAAGAGACACAAAGGCAAGTTTTTATCTAATGAGATGGTTAAATAATAGGTCTTGTGTGCTTACTGAACGATTAATAAAAGTGTTGATGCATAGACTTCATAAATGCTCGTGAGACAAAGAATCTTTTGTCCTAACACAGCAGTAGAAAGAAATGTTTGGCAAACTTTGAAAGTAAAACATAGCCAGGTCAGAAGAACGTGGTTTCATATTACACTGTCTGAACTGGAAAGGTTAGGTCTGAAAACACCATGTACTAAATCTTTTTGCTTCATATACTCACTGCTTTGTTTTGCTATAACAGACAAAATACAATTTAACAAGTACTATATTGTATTAAGTTAGTTTGCAAATAAATAGCTTTATTCATCTCACCTCATTGAACCAGTCTAATTTTTATGATATTTTTAAACAGGTATCTTTGTTCCTTCTGTTATTCACTTCTGTAATTTTAATACATGAATAAAAGAATATTGTTCAAATAATGCCTCTTAAGTTTCCATTGGTCTCAACAAAAGAATGAGTTCATGCAAACAAAGTGTGTTGTTGGACATTAAAACAATGTTAAAGCTCAAAATCTCTTTGAAAAGAAATTCCACGTATGTATTTTGTTAATAATTAATATTTAATAAATATTAAAGCAGGAAACATTGTATGATCATGTGCTCTGACCTGCAGTCTATCACAGGTCATAGAATTTCACCCAGAAGTTGACTTAAGAAGATTTTTCTCTAATGAAAGTACTTTAGTAATGGCTCCTTTTCTTCTAAATTTCAGCTTTAGGTATGTGTTCTTTTCAAAGTACACATCTTTCATATTGTTATATCCATCTGCAACTTCATCTTTACCATAAATATATACAATTTAAGACAAGGCAGAAGTAAGGTAATTTTAAAATAACAAATTATTAACAGAGATGGCATATCAAGAATAAAGTACTTCTAATGCTCTTACACTCTTCTGTACTATTTTATGTTGGAGGACAACAAAGCTGGATTTAATATTCCCTTTACAACTCCCAGACTTTTGGGCCAGCTGGGTATTTGGAAGCGGTTCTGAAGAGGAGCCCCAGTAACTGCTTTTAACCCTTGCAGCATCAGAGCGTTGCAGCAGTCCAGAGTACTCTGGAGAGCAGCAAGCCCTTTTGTGTTCCCTCACCACCGCAGCACAGTCATGTTCACTGTCTACTCTTCAATATAGTGTGTGGAAAGCTACAGGGTGTAGAAGGATAGCTTTACGTAATCAGTGCAATGCTGCCAGGGAGATCGCTTCATGATAGTGTTTTTTCTAGTGGAAAAATATAAAGGATTTACACTGTTGTCATGGAAGAGCTACCATTTGCTCCAAAGCAGGCTAGATGTCATTTTTCCACGGAGTTAAAAAATTATTTGGGTTTGTATTTCAGATGTTGGTGGTGGGTTTGGGAGTTTTTATTTCGTAAGTGTTGAGTTTGCTAAGACCATCTCTACAGCCTCTTTAATATGGATTGTAACTTGTCCAGTGCCTTAATTTTTCTAGTTGCATCTTAATTTTGTGAACCTGAGAACTGAGATAAGCATCTTCACATTCTATATGGCTTCTCTATGCCTGCGTTACTTGTAAAAACCACTGGGTGTCGTGAGTCTCTTTGGATTACAGGATACAGAGAAGGACAAATTTAGTCCAATCAAGGACTGCCTATGGACTATTTTTTCCAGGTGGGAAGGCCTTTGTCTCCTTTACATAGGATTAGAATAGGGAGTCCCAAATCTTACTTTAAAATAATTTTATTTGTTTAGGTAAATGTGTGATTCTTGGGGTTGTCCTGTGCAGGGTCAGTAGTTGGACTTTGGTGATCCTTGTGGGCTCCTTCCAACTCAGAATATTCTGTGATTCTTTATTTATGTACCAAGGGCTGCTAATATGAGATAGGAATACTACAAACAACAGCCTAATTCTCTACATGTTTTATTCCTGTTACCATTTACTTATTCAACTGAATGACACCTTGTTTAGCGGAAAAACATTAAGATGTCAGTAGATAATTAAAGAAATCCTGATATCATAAATGTATAACATAGTAGAATTAGGGATGAACTGGTGATCTCAAATGGGTATTTTCCTAATTTTTGGGAACGATATTTGACATGTCTGTGTCTGAGATTATGATTTTGGGAAAGATTTTGGCCTGTTATTTTCATCATTTTTGCAAGCAAATGAAAAGGCACAAATATGTGACTTTATATACAAGAATAAAAAATGTGCTTCGTACAGAAGAGAACTTGAATCTTGAACCTTTGGTACAGACCTGTGCTGCAGAGGATTAAAGACCAACCATATTAGTTGCACATAGGAGGATTACATTTCCTACAGACTAGTCAGTAGGAGATCATATGATGTGGTAACATTGATCCAGCCATGTGCTGTGCCTCACAGTATGGATAGATGAGCCAGGGATATAGACTGGACGTAGGCTTTCTGAGAGGCTCAGATGCCACTGTGACTCAGTTGCTTTCCCTGTGGGTTTGTTATGTTAGATGGCTGAACTGATCTGGTGTGTGGAGGTTCTCTTACTAGTGGTTGAAGCTTTGCCTAACAGTATGAT